GGAGGAGGAAGAAGGTGGAAGGTGCTTGGCTATGGTGGATGGGTGAAGGAGATGGAGGACGAAGAAGGTAGAAGGTGCTTGGTTATGGTGGATGAACAAAGGAGATGGAGGCGGAAGAAGGTGGAAGGTGCTTGGCTATGGTGGATGGGTGAAGGACATGGAGGAGAAAGAAGAAGGTGTGGGTATGGTGCCGCCTTGTTTGTCCACAAGCCCAAGACTCTTTCTATATACCACCTATGCTCCTAGCACTACCTCAGCCAAGAGCCATCGGTTCGTACCCCATATCGAAATTGTAGAAAACAACTTTGCAAGATATTGAAGAAAATTCAGAAAATGCAGACAATACAAAATTTGCAGCAAACACCGAATTAACAGAAAACTGCCGACTTTAAAGAATCGGAGCACTGCTACCTAGTATATGAGTGAACAGCACAAATATGAGCAGCCAAGATCGCAAGAGAAGAGCATCACAAACACTCAAGGGAGAATCGGAACACTCCTACCTACTATATGAGCGAAATGCACAAGTGTGAACAGCCCAAATCACAAGGGAAGAACAACACAACACTCAAGGAAGAATCGGACAAGTGTGAACACCCCAAATCACAAGGGAAGAACAGCACAACACTCAAGGAAGAAGCGGAGCACTACTACCTACTACATGAGTGAAAAGCACAAGTGTGGTCAGTCCAAATCACAAGGGAAGAACAGCACAACACTCAAGGAAGAATTGGAGCACTACTACCTACTACATGAGTGAAAAGCACATGTGTGGACAACCCAAATCACAAGGAGAGAACAACACAACACTCAAGGGAGAATCGGAGCACTACTACCTACTACATGAGTGGAAAACACAAGTGTGAACAGTCCAACTCACAAGGGGAGAACAGCACAACACTCAAGGAAGAATCGGCGCACTACTACCTACTGCATGAGTGAAAAGCACAGGTGTGAACATCCCGAATCACAAGGGAAGAACAACACAACAGTCAAGGGAGAATCGGAGCACTACTACCTACTACATGAGTGAAAAGCACATGTGTGGACAGTCCAAATCACAAGGAGAGAACAACACAACACTCAAGGAAGAATCGGAGCACTACTACCTACTACATGCGTGGAAAACACAAGTGTGAACAGTCCAACTCACAAGGGAAGAACAACACAACACTCAAGGAAGAATCAGAGCACTACTACCTACTACAAGTGTGAAAAGCACAAATGAGGACAGTCCAAATCACAAGGAGAGAACAGCACAACACTCAAGAGAGAATCGGAGCACTATTACCAACTACATGAGTGAAAAACACAAGTGTGAACAGTCCAACTCACAGGGGGAGAACAGCACAACACTCAAGGAAGAATCGGAGCACTACTACCTACTGCATCAGTGAAAAGCACAGGTGTGCACAGCCCAAATCACAAGGGAAGAACAGCACAACACGCAAAGAAGAATCAGAGCACTACTACCTACTACATGAGTGAAAAGCACAAGTGTGAACAGTCCAAATCACAAGGAGAGAACAGCGCAACACTCAAGGGAGAATCGGAGCACTACTACCTACTACATGAGTGGAAAACACAAGTGTGAACAGTCCAAAACACAAGGAGAGAACAGCACAACACTCAAGGGAGAATCAAAGCACTACTATCTACTACATGAGTGGAAAACGCAAGTGTGAACAGCCCAAATCACAAAGGAAGCACAGCGAAACATCCATGGGTGCATCGCAACACTTCCTACTATCAGATGAGTGCAACTCAAGAGCAAGGACAACCAATATCACGAGGAATGAGCAGCGGAGCATTCACGGGTGCATCGCCACACTACCTACTATCAGATGAGTGCAAATCAAGAGCAAGATCAACCAATATCGCTAGGAATGAGCAGCGGAACATCCATGGGTGCTTCGCCACACTACCTATTATCAAATGAGTGCAAATCAAGAGCAAGAACAACCAATACCACAAGGAATGAGCAGCGGAACATCCATGGGTGTATCGCAACACCTCCTACTACTAATTGAGAGAAAAACAAGAGCTTGGATATGCCAAAACACAAGGGATGAGCAGCGGAGCATCCATGGGTGAATCACAACTCTATCTACTACTAATTGAAAGAAAAACAAGAGCTTGGACAGGCCAAAACACAAGGGATGAGCAGCGGAGCATCCATGGGTGAATCGCAACTCTATCTACTACTAAATGAGAGAG